TCACATTTGTTCTTGAATTGGTTAAAAGTTATCTTTTTTCCAAACATAAGATGATTTATGCATGTATTGTATACTTAGGTAAATATTTTCTTGTGGATTCCGGATTTCAAAATCGTTGTTAGTTCTTAGCTCCATTTCGAGGTGTTCGGTATCATCTCCAAGATTTTTGTGGCCAAGGTCGTAATCCAGAAAATTTAATGAACTATTCAATCTTCGTTTGCTTCCTTAGGAAATGCAATTGAGAGAATATTTGGCATAGTCAAATTGTTGTTCACGATATTTAAATCAGCAGTAGAATTGGAGTTCGCTTGTGAAGGATTGCATAATTTTCTTCACTAAGAATGACATTCTAATCAATTTCGTGTTGAACTAAATAATGAAGATTCATCTATATCATCATTGTTACCGGGAATTGAAGAGGATGAAGATGTTTTTGAACGTGATCATTTCAAAATCCGCAAGTAGATGAAATCTTGAACAAGTAATATAGTAGTGTGTAGAGTGTCGACCCACGAGGACTAAGTATTTGATTATGTTCAAATTAATAACAACCTTAATCAAATGGCAACAAGTTTTGAGGTTTCTATACTAATATCTAAGTTATCAATTAAACTAGAAAGCGGTATAACTGATTTTTCAAATATGTTAAGTGTCGCTAAGATGTTGAATCCCCTTGCTAATCCATTTTTAGCACAACAAATTAAGGTGACAGTATGTAGTCATTCTAGTTGGTCGATATTCCTAATTTAATTGAAAACCTCGCTCGATAGTTATCAAATATATTCTCCTCGTGTGACCTTCCTATTTCTGGATGAAAGATACGAACATGATAAATGTATTAAACTATCATGAATACCTATCCTCTATTGAACCTTATGGTGTTTATTATTTTTAGCTAAAAACCTATTATCTCTCTTGATTACAATAGATTCCAATAAATTATCTCAATTAGTAGCTAATTAATTGAGAAATCAGTGAAAACAATAATAAACATCTAAGAAAACATACATACTGAAAACAATAATAAACATCTAAGAAAACATACATACTAAACGTCAAAATTATTAATTAATACCAAAAATCTAATAACAAGAGTTCATCTTATCCTAACAATGTAAAAATCTAGCCAAGCATATTGAAATTACAAGAAATTATTCTAAATTTAATGGATGCCACCTAGAAATCAAATAATTGAAGAGAACGATGAATTCTTCATATCTCTTCCCAATTCTTATGTAAATTTCCTGGTATGGGGACTCCTGATGATATTTTTGCAATTTCTCAGTTGAAATCACCCCCAAAAATGAATTTGCCCTCTTCTTAACGTGATTCTCTCAAAATCACCTTGTTCTTGATGTGTTTTGTGCATAAAATAGGCTCCTTAATGTGTATGGGACGTTCTGGTATTTATATGGCTCGTATCTAGGTCAAAAATATCGCCCAAAACCTTGCCAAATTGAGTTTTAATCGTATAAGGAAACTTGAGTTTTAGCCAAAATCTTACATTATGTGGTAACATAGTACATTGGGATGCGACCACGTAATTTACTTGTTGAACTCCAAGTTTGTCCTTGCATGGTAGGATGCGACCGCATAACTCAATTTCTTTCTGTCAAACAATCTTTAATATTTTGGTCATATCTTTCTCTATCGATATCTGATTGAAGTGATTCAACATAAATTTGAAAGCTAACTCAAAGCATTACCATTCTTTCAAAGATATTATTTTTCTAATTCGAACATTTATTATGCCAAAAATGGATCTCAAACAAAGACTGTAAATCTGAAGCTTAACTTTTTTATTTGAAAGTTGATATGTGATAATATTTTGACTATATTTCATTCATTTGACTTATTTTCTCATCCAATTGACCCCTAACACTCTCGAATCTTCATCGCAAGGTTTGATACAACTTTTTGTATTTGCACTTTTGTCCTCAAGCTTTTATTTTGCTTCATTTCATCATTTTTTTTTCTTGTAATCTTGTTTCTTTATCATCCAATTGTATCCAATTAAAGTCTTGACATCTTTGATCTTCATTTCATCACCCATCTTATCTATGAATTATTTGCAACTTGGTCCGTGACTTTTGGATTTCACTCTTTTTATGGATTTTCCTTTTGTTTCTTCCAATTTCTTGTTCAACCATTGAGTTTACCTATTTAATATAAAAATTTAGACTATATGTCATCAGAGGAACAATTAAATATCACTATTTAAGACCCTGAATAAGTGCATAAAATACACTTATCATCATGAATGAAGAGTAATGCAAATTGAATTCTACTTGGATAAGTTTATGTCTTTTTTTTTTTTTGGGGTTTTAAATGACAAATTTATATGTTTCTTTTAATAAACGATAATTTCAAAAAGAAAAATAGACTTGAAATAATATGGTGGAATTTTAAAATTTTCTACAAAGTTAAGTGACAATTTACTTTAAGCAATTGGGAGATAAAAATACAATTTTAATAAAAAGTCTAAAATCCATGAAATCTATAAAATTCTACAAAATAGAAATTCATTAAAATCTTATGAAATCTGTTAAATTCTATTAAATTCCATAAGATCCATGTGAATTTATAAACATTAAGAAATTTATTAAACTCTGAGTTAAGGGCACCCCTTAGTCATTGGCTCACTAGTCATAGGCCGTAATCGACATATTTAACTGCAAACTGCACAATTTTTATTTTTTATTTTTGATCGGAAACTACACAATATTTTATTTCACTTCGGGATGTTCAAACTAGAAAAATAAATGTTTTTGCAACATCGGCTCAATATATGTTATGCGGACTATTACAACACTTGTAATATAAGTAATATTTTATTCTTTATAGCTTTCCGGATTTCTTTGCTTTTTTTCATTTGAACAAACCTGACCCAATCAACTCTTGATTTCCAACATTAGGAACAAAGTTGAAATTGCCAAAATGCCCTTTTCCAAATACACAAAATCCTCAAATTACATTTTCTATCTAACCGTTACATGTTCTCACATCACAATTTTAATGAATAATCAATGTCGAATTGCTAAACTCAAAATTAAGTGTTCGCCAAAAAATTCTCCGAGGTCATGATCTTGCATGTTAAATAGGTGACAAATTCTATATTGTAAATATATGTTCCCTGTTATTTCATTTTAATTCTCAAAGTATTGATATATTAACTCACTCATTAATACGTTAAAGGATAAGTTAGTAATCAAAGTTCATTCCTTGCTTAGAATTAGCGTCTTATTAATGACAACCAAGTTAAATTAAATTCATGCGATCAATTTCACAGCTTAAATTTCACATTTTCCAACCTAGTACATTCAATTTGGCACTCAATCTTATTATTAAAACGAAATACTAAAGTCAAAAGATGAACTTTAATAAAACTTAGATGATCTTATTAAAATAAGGTGTTCAACTTTATTTATTGATCGTGGACTATAAAATTTCAATAGAATTACAAATCGAATATTCCGTTCTTAATAACTTAAGCACTATAAATATAAATTAATGTGCGAGTATAAATATATTTACTCTAAATGCAAACACCATCCAACACTAATATTATAAAGAAATTCAAGAGTAAAAGCTTTTCATTTGTTAATTTTGTACAAGTGATACTATGCTTTACTTATACACACGAGAGAGCTATACTATGCTTTGCTTATACACACGAGAGAGCCATTAAAGGAAAATAACGATTTCCTGATATCTGCTTCACCAAAATAAGAGCACTAACGGTCACACAGAAATTGATTTGCTAATCCCTATTTTAGGACTAGCAAAACTATAATTACTGTTCATATAAACTTCTCTAATGAATGCACAAACCTCTATAAATGTTCAAGAATCAGCTCTCTAATTTCAGTCACAAGAAGGTTTCAAAAAATCAGAAAGACAAATTTTGAAAATTGGTGGCAACAACTTTCCGAAATCAGTAATATAAAAACATAAAATTGATTATAATATATTCATCAATATAACGTATATACCAATTAAAATCCACCCGGAAAAAAAATTGAATATAAGGCCACATTTTTTCTTTTCCCTGTGGCTTTCTACTACTACCTTGGAAGTTTTCCTCTTCATCTCTTTCCATTGATTGGAGCTTTTGATTTCGACCTAGAACTTCTATGGCACACAGAGCCGGTCCTGTGTTTGAGGGGCCCTGAGGCGAATGATGAAAATTAGGCCCCCCATCGACAAAATTCAAAGGTGTATTATGCGACTCATTGCTAACTTGAAAAACTAACATTAAAATAACGACAAAATATATCATAGAAACGATTATATTATAAACCATCAAACCAAAAATTTCAAATAATTAGTTAAATACTATTCGTCTTGCTGTTTTAGAGGCAAAAATATCAATCAAATCTGAATAACTTAGCTGCTTAACCATTTGTTTTTCTATTGATAACATAGCCAACCCGTTTAATCTTTCTTGTGACATAGTTGATCGGAGATAAGTCTTGATCAACTTCAATTTCGAGAAACTTCTTTCCGCAGATGCAACTGTAACCGGTACGGTTAACAAAATTTTGTAAGCAATATAAGCATTTGGGAAACAAACATCCAATGTCTTCAAATAGTGTAGCACTTCAATTGCTCTTGTTGCTTCATTTGGTAAATAAATCTTCAAGACTTGTAATTCCGAACATAAATCATCTCCACTGATGTCCGAAAGCCCATCATGTTCAAGATATTTCTCAAGATTCATACAAGAGTTCAACAAACTTGATAAAGTTGCACTCCTTAACCTCTTCAAATTAAACAAAAATCCAAATATATCATCATATAGTTTGAATTGTTCAAATCGAGTCTTCAGAGAAGATAGAGCTTGATCAATTATAAAAACAAAGTACTCAACTCTAAATGATTCTTCTGCTGATTGCTTTACCTCATTACTACAGTTTTCATCAAATTGCATTTTTCTTTGAATTATGCGTTTTTCTGTAAATACAGCTTCAATTCCCATTTCATTTGCCTTTTTTGTCGCTTCATCCTTGGCAAGAGTACTCCAAAGAAGGATACAGCTTTGGAACAACAATTCACCATATCACATAATGCTAGATTTAGACTATGAGCGCCGCATGGAGTATAGAAAGCTCGGGAATTCATTTCAAGTACTCTTCTTTGCACACCTTTGTACTTCCCGCTCATGTTAGATCCGTTATCATACCCTTGCCCTCTAATGTCATCAATATCCAGATCGAGTTTGATCAAAGCCTTTTGAAGCTCGGTTGTCAGTCCAAGTCCTGTTGTGTCATCTACCTTCAAAAATTCAAGCCAATGTTCTTCAAATGTAGGTAAGTTTGCCGAATCATCTACAAATCGTACTATTAACGATATCTGCTCCTCATGACTTGCATCTGGAGTACAATCAAGTATAACTGCAAAATATTTTGCATGTTTAACTTTCTTGACAATTGCATTTCTCACCTCATTAGCTAACCACTATATCAACTCATTTTGAATTTTTTTGCCAAGATACATGTATTGAATCTCTTTTGCATTAGCCCGCCGAAGGTGTTCTTTCATTATTGGATCAAATTCACTAACCATTCCACCATTTGTAAAGACAGACCATTGTTCTCAACATTAAGCCTCTCATCATCTCCTCGAAATGGCAAGGTATTTTTGGCGAGTCTTTTTACAATAGCGATTATCCTTGTTAATACATGCCTCCAATGTTCTCTTTTCGCATCGATCAACAATTCAACGCTTTTATCAATTGTAGTTTTTGTTCGAAGCCTATTTTCCAATTCAATCTAGCTAGTCATGCAACATAAATGCTCTTCATTTCCTTCACGACTTTTAATAGACCAATGCAAATTATGCCAATCTTTGAATCTATCGTTACCAAGTTGGCCAACTCTGGTAACGTTTTTGGCTGTTTTAAACAACTTACAACAAAAGCAAAAGATCCTGTCCATAGATATTGAATAGACTAGCCATCTCCTATCAATTGTTTGCCCATTTCGTAGCAATCGCTTATATTGTGAAGAATCAAAATGCCTATTTGTACAATCTTTTGGAAACAAGATGCCATCAACTCTTTTTGGACCCCTTTCAACTAAGTAATCCCTTGTTCTCTCATCAATAATTTTCCAATTCCCGGGATTATCCAAATTTAGAGAAGAGCAACCCTCTTCTTCCTTGTCATCTATTTCATTAACACATGCATGTTTCATCACCTCTTCTTCCTTATCATCTACTACAACGTAGGCAGGTTGACTCACTTCTTCATCCTTATCATCTACTTCATTAACACATGCAGGTTGAATCTCTACTTCATCCTCATTCAATGTATTCATATTATTGCTTTTAAAGTACTTGCCAATATCCTCTGCTTGACTTTGAATTAATGAAATCTCATTTCGTTTCCTTTTTCTCTTTTGAGCACCAGACTCATATTTAGGAGGCATGGTGTATGAGTCTATATCTGATTCTCAATGATTAAACTAAAAAAAAATTACAAAATATCTCAAATCATCACACAGTTAGAGTTTTCAATGTAGTTATTATGTGCGCCTGCGCAATTGTTGATCCTCTAACAGTCAATCATATAAGCCGACCAGGCCACAATTATATAAGCCGACCAGGCTTCAAACATTTTCAATTTCTTCGATAACAAGTTAAGGCAAGCCATTGCTTACCTGACAAGTAGAATTTTGACAAAAACTTTGGAGTTAGGCCTTCAAAAATTCCCTTGTCACAAGCTCACAACTCCCGACCCTGAAACAAAAATTTCACATCAAACGCACCCCTAAGTAAGATAAATACATTAATAAGGAAGGATGAGGATGAGAGAGTGCATGAAAGAAGGGAGGATGAGAAATAAGACACTGAGATATAGATGCTCATCCAAGTTTGGATAGTTCAATTTATAATTGGAAAGAACCCAAAAATATATTGTAAGACAATGAAGATAATAATCCTAGATGCATCTCAGAAAAGATGACATGAAAAATATTATCTACTGCTGTTGCAGCACCAGTCCTAATCTTTATGTATATGATAAGGCAACGTTGATCATTTTGTCCTAGACAAATTTTTACGAGAAATAGCCACAGATTGTCAAATTTAACTTGCAGAGAAATAACATTTCCATTGACACAATTATCAGACTTGGTTTCAGCTGTATAAGGGATTATTTATGACTTAAGAGGCTATTTTAGTCAAGAAAATTAGAACCTTTTTTGTTTTTTATTTCCCTATTTGGAACTGTCAATTTTTTATATACTAATCAAAGTTGAACGTGTATTGCACGTGAATTTGTAAGTGAGGTAAAGATAATATTTAACCATTAAGTGGTTAAATATATTTTATAAATAAGTACACGTGAATTTTATTAATCCCCCGACTAGGATTTAAAGTTAATATATTTAATCAAGCAATCATTATTGTAATAACTAGAAATTTGAGTGACTAATTTCAGTCATATTTGTGTGCTTTACCTATTGCATCTGTCAACTGCATGAATTTATTACATTTTGGCTATGAGACAAACCTTTAGCTTTGTAGAAGTGTGATCTTTTTCTTGATGATAAAAAATTGGTGGTTATCCGTAAAAGTTATGTTCTTTAATACATTCGTTCCATTCTTTACTCATTGTGCTTTCATGTGTAATGTATTGGTAGTGAAAACTTCTCTCTATATATACCCAATTACCCATACAGCGAATTCATTTCAAAAATGAAAAAATGAATTTGCTAGAGAAGACAGTGGGAATAACACAGGATATTTTTCATTCAATGATGAACAAACAATGTAGAGGTTAAATTAAAACTAAGTAATACACAAATTCTCTCACGTATGTGAATTGTGAGAATGTGAGACAACGTGAGTGGGTGTAAAACTGTAATTGCAAATGAATACCTATACACACAGTCACACGACACACAGGCACGCACAAATGTATAAATGAACATACGGCGATGGATGGTGAGCCAGAGATCGAGTGAAGCTTGCTCGGCCTTCAGAATGTCAATGTTGTCGCCTATCAGTGGCTAGGGCTACGGTAACACTGTAACAGGGTTGAACTTGGAAGCGGAAGGAGATGTCCAGTGACTCCAGTCGAGCTGTCGAGGCATAGACTATATCAGTATATAATAAATATGTATAGTGTATACATTTGTATTATGAGAGCCGAGAGAGTCCGAGAGAGAGATTAGAGATACCTAGGGTTGAACTTGGAAGCGGAAGAAGGAGTCAAGGAGATGTCGAGTAAACTGTCGAGGGCCTCTAAGCGTCGAGCGAGAGAGACTCGGAGATAGTACAGTCGCACATTGGCACTTCAGAGTTCAGACGGAGAGGGGAGGGCTCACTGGCGACGGGAGGCGTTTGCGGTTTCGCCGGTTTGCCAAATGCCGATTTGGGGAAAAATGGAAATCAATTGGCATTGGGGGAAATTGGATGTGGATAGTGGATCGGGTTTAGTAGTTCGGGTGGGCTACTGGGTTGAGAGTTTTGGGCTAATTGGATTTGGGGCCTGGGCTGCCATACTCCAAACAGAAAAAAAAATTAGGCCAACAAAATGAGGCCCCCTTGGATTTTGGGCCTGAGGCGCAGGCCTCATCCGCTTGGCCTCAGGACCGAGCCTGCCTACAACTCATGCCACCACTCTCCCTCAAGTTGATACATAAATATCTTTGATGTTCAACTTGCCAAGAGAATTGTAGAAATCCTTACTTGATACTGTCTTTGTGAGTATGTCTGCTAGTTGGTCTTTGGACTTTACAAATGAGAATTTGATTATCTTTGCATCTAGGTTCTCATTGACAATGTGTCGATCCACTTTCACATGTTTTGTCCAATCATATTGAATTGGGTTGTGAGCTATGGCAATAGCGACTTTGTTGTCACAAAACAGATCAATCTCGGATGTAGGACCAAAACCAATTTCTGTAAGCAACCTCTTGATCTAAAGAAGTTCGCAAAGTCATTTTGCCATTCCACAAAATTCAGCTTCAATGCTTGATAGCGCCACAACCTTTTGTTTTTTACTTCTCCATGTAACAATATTCCCACCAACAAAAGTAAAATAACCTGAGGTGAATTTTATGTCTACTAAATTTCCAGCCCAATCTGCACCTGTATAGCCATTTACTCGTATTTGATCTCCCTGTTCTGTATTTGTATTCCTTGAGAAATAAATCCTTTTCTTGGCGAGGACTTTAGGTATCGTAGGTTGTGCATGAATTAACTGACCATACTTACTGCATATGCAATATCTGGACGAGTATGGGAGACATAGATTAGCTTACCAACTAACCTTTGATACCTCTCTTTATCCGCGAAACTTGATCTGGATATTCTTTAAATTAGTGGTTTTGTGCAATTGGAGTGTCCACTGGTTTGCATTCCAACATTCCTACCTCGGTTAATAAGTCCAATACATATTTTCTTTGGGAGAGAAATATTCATTCCTTCGACCTAGCCACTTCAATTCCCAAAAAATATTTGAGTCCTTCTAAGTTCTTCATTTCAAACTCGATTTCTAACTACTCCTGGAGTCTAGATATTTCTTCTTTATTATCCCCTGTGATAATCATACATCTTCATACACTATCAATGCAGTTACCTTGCCTGATTTGCGCTTTAGGAATAGTGTATGATCCGAGTTACTTTGTTTATATCCATATTTCTTCATTGTTAGACTAAACCCTACAAACTACGCTCAAGATGATTGTTTCAGTCCATATACTGCTCATTGCAACTAGCACACCACTTTGGTGCCTGTGGACGTTGTGTAATTCCGAGGGAGGTCCATGTACACTTCTTCTTCGAGATCTCCATGGAGAAATGCATTCTTAATATCTAGTTGATGTAGTGGCCAGTCAAAATTGGCTACAAGAGACAACAATATTCTGATAGTGTTCAATTTAGCAATCGACGAAAAAGTATCTTAGTAGTCCACCCCATATGTTTGTGTATATCTTTTAGCCACCAGCCTTGCTTTGTATCTCTCGATAGATCCATCCGCCTTGTGTTTGATGGAGAATACCCATTTGCATCCAATTGTTTCCTTCCCTTCAGGTAATGTTACTAAAGCCCATGTGTCATTCTATAATAGTGCTTTCATCTCTTCTTTTATTGATTGAGTCAATTTGTGTCTGTCAAAGCTTTCTCAATTCTTGTTAGAACATGAGCTGAGGAGAGTACATGCACAAAGGCCCTTAGGGATTCCGATAATCTCCTGGTGGACACATAGTTGGCTATCGGATAGTTTGATCTTCGTTCTTCAATTTCTGGAGAATATCTATTGGGTAGCTTGCCACAATTCTTCCTGAAAGATAACATGTATCCACCAGTATTATCCCAAGTCATTTATATTTGGAGGTGGGTCACAAGTGCTTACCACAAGGATATTCTCAGGAGACGGGGATGTAGGTAATGAAGAATGGGGGGTCACCTTTGCTATTTGCCTCATCATCTTTGGAATGATCCTTCAACTCCGTGGACTCATCAATTACTTCTTTAGGCTTATCAATCTGCAATGCCGTTTGCTCCTGTTCTGTTTTAGTACTTGGCCAGTCAAAGTGTACCCAATTTTGCTCTTCATTGTTTGTCTTCTCTTGAAGAGGAAAATTGATATGTGGTGAGAAGAAGGTGTTAGTTTCTAGGAATGTGATATCCATAGTCACATAGGTGCGGTTGGTAGAGAGATCATAGCATCAGTAGCCTTTCTGATTTATACCATAACCCAAGAAGAGATAGTGGATGGCATAGGGATCTAGTTTCATCTGTTGACTTTTGTGGACATACACATAGGCCACACAACCAAATATTTGACAAATGAGCATTAGTGTTGTGGGTATAGTGACATAGGATGCCAGGACCTGTAGCGGAGTTCTGAAGTTTAGAATTTTGGAGGGCGTTCGATTGAGTAAATGTACAATGGTGGATACTGCATCTGGCCAGTAGCTGTTTGGAACATGAGCTCCAAGGAGTGAAGCACGTGCGGTCTCGAGAATATGTCGATTTTTTCGTGCAGCGATATCGTTTTGCTAAGGGGTTCAAGGGCATGTCGTCTCATGAACTAAACCATGTTGTTCAAAGTAGGCACGAAAGTGCTTATTATCATATTTTCCTCCATTGTTAGAGCATATAACCCGAAGCTTGGCTGAGAATTGGGTCTAAATCATGGCATGAAATGACTTGACCATTTGTAGTACTTCGTCCTTATGCTTTAGCAAGTACAACCAAGTAATGCGAGTACAATCATCAATGGAGATGACAAACCAATGAACCCTAGATCCAACAGAGATAGAAGATGGACCCCACACATCAGAGTAAATTAAAGCAAATGGAA